TCAATACTTCCCTGAGCAGACCTAATACAAAGGTTTTCGACTTCCGGGTGACTTTACACGTCATCTATCCGTCAATATGTGAGTTTTCTTCATAAAATTGGGAGAGAATGATTTTGAAAACTTGCACTATACCTCATATGACTAACAAGCCATACATATATTTATTCTGATTGTTTTTATTTATTTTATTATTATGATATGTTTTTATTTTTCACTTGTTAGTAAACAAAGCGAAATTCGAGTTGAAATTGAATTCGAGAATTAACAAATGCTCTTTGTTGATTCAAACGTGCGTATATACACATATACATACCATATATATATCTGTTTGTGTGTACAGAGTGATTATTGATTTCATTTCCGTAGTCCACAAACTGTTTCGTTGTTTGCGATTAGCAAAAATAGATCTTCATAAGTTCTGGAAGTACTTTTTCCATGAGGAACTTTTGTGGCTCTGTATCAGACCACGATCCAGATGCGTATATTTGATGAAGTCACACCCAGTTGTTAATTTGAAAAAAAAAAACAAATATGTATTAACCTGTTCAGATGATATATATACTATATATATATACACATATATATGTTATATTTACATATTACATGTTTTCCTATACACAATATACACTTTTAACTACGCCTTCATTGAATATCGATTTTCCTTAGTTTAATTCGCATTTTTTGCGCTTCTTTGTTATTTTGTTACAAATTTGCATTGCTATCAGGAACTACATTTATATACTACATACATATGTATACTTACATGCATATATTTGGTAGTCAATAAACTGAAAGAAAATTGCGCACGTGTTGCCAGCATAATTTCGAGTGTGTTCCTTTTGACAGTGTGGTTGGATTGGCGATAAGCTCATAGTTACGTAGGAATCTGAAAAAAAAGTAAAATCGTACAAACAAAGCGTAAAAAAATAAATAAGGAAGGGCTAAGTTCGGGTGTCACTGAACATTTTATACTCTCGCATGATAATCGAGATTTCAGACGTGGTTGTGACCCGATTTCACCCATATTTCGTACATATCAACAGGGTAATATTATATACCGGATTTCATTGAAATCGGTCGAGTAGTTCCTGAGATATGGTTTTTGGTCCATAGGTGGGCGACGCCACGCCCATATTCAATTTTTTAAAAAAGCCTGGGTGCAGCTTCTTTCTGACATTTCTTCCGTAAAATTTAGTGTTTCTGACGTTTTTTGTTAGTCGGTTAACGCACATTGATTTTCAACATAACCTTTGTATGGGAGGTGGGCGTGGTTATTATCCTATCCGATTTCTTCCATTTTTGAACTGTACATGGAAATGCCTGAACTAAATAACTCTGTATAGTGTGGTTGACATAGCTATAGTAGTTTTCGAGATATGTACAAAAAAGTTAGTAGGGGGCGGGGCCACGCCCCCTTTTCCACAAAAATTACGTCCAAATATGCCACTCCCTAATGCGATCCTTTGTGCCAAACTTCATTTTAATATCTTTATTTATGGCTTAGTTATGACACTTTATAGGTTTTCGGTTTCCGCCATTTTGTGGGYGKGGCAGTDKGCCGATTTTGCCCATHTTCGAACTTAACYTTCTTATGGAGCCAAGAAATACGTGTACCAAGTTTCRTCATGATATCTCAATTTTTACTCAAGTTACAGCTTGCACGGACGGACGGACAGACGGACATCCGGATTTCAACTCTACTCGTCACCCTGATCACTTTGGTATATATAAYCCTATATCTGACTCTTTTAGTTTTAGGACTTACAAACAACCGTTATGTGAACAAAACTATAATACTCTCTTTAGCAACTTTGAAGGACGTGTAAAATTTTCAAGTCAAACAATCTCGCCGTTTTAGAGAAATTTTTCTCACCGCCTCCGAAAACATTGTTTTGAGAAAAAGGTATTTCAAGTTTTAGATGCCGATTACACTAATTGTTATAAGCGCGCCCATATTTCTGAATCATTTGCCAGACCAATTTCAAATTTTTAGAGAATATTTCCAAATATATATACACTGTGGGCAACGGTGGGCAAAAATAGTAAAACTTTTTTATTTATATAACACGTGCTCACTTCAACTTATGATCTACACGTCAATAATTAAAAGGAATTAGTGCTTGAGAATCGACGATGTACAGCAGTGAGGTATCTTACCGGCATAATTAGAATATCGGTAGGATCACTGAAAACCATGTTGCAAGAGCATCTGATCCTAAGAAAGGTGAAGGCCGATTGGTTCCAAAATCATCTATTTGAGAGGCCGGTTTTTGCGCCAGAATTATGCACCATCCCATACCGCATTGATTTTTTGAAAGTTTTATGCCAAACTTTCAACCGATATCGTGTAGCAACCACCGTATTCGCCTGATTTAACACCGTTGACTTCTGGCTATTTAACAAACGCAAACGATCGCTACGGGGAAACCGCCTTCAGTCAATTGAAGACAATAAACGAGAATCGCTACACGCATAGCCTTAATTCCGGCAATTGACTTTAAGGGGATATTCTACTCTAGAATTTTGAAAAATTAGATTTTTTCACATATTTAAAGTTTAGATCTTTAAGAACTTATCCTCCAAAGGATTTTTAAAAATTAAAATTATTTGAAGAGCTACAGTTAGTAGTTGAGTAACGCAGTATCTAGCGCACTAATAAATGACTTAGACTGCCTGAAATTTGACTCACTTTTTTAAACGCGTTTTTCTCGAAACTACTCTTTTCCACACGGTACCGGCATTATCTCAAGTTCTATACAACCGATTTACTTGAAATTTTGTGTAAACCTTCCTTATGTAATCCTTTATCGTTCCTACCAGCATCGTGTAAAAATTTTTGTTTTCAATATTAAAAAAAATTCAGGAATTTCAAAATCAAAGCGTAAAAAGTGATTTTTATTCTCAGGCAGTCGCCATTTTTCAAAAAAAAAAAAAGTTATTTCGTGTTCCCTGAGGTATGGACTATAACAGCATCCTTACTTAATAAGGATTTTCTTTTGGTTTTTTTTTTTCAGACCACCAGGAAAGTCAGGACTACAAGCTGTCACCAGCAAGCGACATTTGTTTTACACCTGTCTCTCCAACGCCCTCCCCCCTCTAATTATATTAATTTTTAATATTTTTTTGTAAAATTTTTTTTCTGTATTCTTAAGATATCAATAAAAACACCATAAAATAATGGATAGTAAAAATATTTTTTTTTTTTTTT